AATCATAAAAATTAAAAGAAATAGAAATAATTAAAGTGAAAATAGGATAAGGTCTCCATCATTTGCAAGAAAAAAATCAATAAATCGAATAGTAATCAGCAACTATACAAGAAATAGAACAGAAAAATCATGCACTTTAAGAAGAACTGAAACAAAATGAATCATAATAATTAAAAGAAATAGAAATAATTAAAGTTGAAATCGAAAAAGGTCTCCATCATTTGCAAGAGAAAAATCAATAAATCGAATAGTAAACAGTAACTATTCAAGAATTAGAACAGAAAAATCATGCACTTTAAGAAGAACTGAAACAAAATGAATCATAAAAATTAAAAGAAATAGAAATAATTAAAGTTGAAATCGAAAAAGGTCTCCATCATTTGCAAGAGAAAAATCAATAAATCGAATAGTAAACAGTAACTATTCAAGAATTAGAATAAATAAATCATGCACTTAAAGAAGAACTAAAGTAGAAAGAAGAATAAAAATTAAAAGAAATAGAAATAATTAAAGTTGAAATCGAAAAAGGTCTCCATCATTTGTAAGAAAAGAATCAATAAATCGAATAATAAACAGCAACTATTCAAGAATTAGAATAAATAAATCATGCACTTTAAGAAGAACTGAAAGAAAATGAATCATAAAAATTAAAAGAAATAGAAATAAATAAAGTTGAAAATCGAAAAAGGTCTTCATCATTTGGTAAGAAAAGAATCAATAAATCGAATAGTAAACAGCAACTATTCAAGAATTAGAACTAGAAAAAGTCATGCACTTAAAGAAGGAACTAAAGTAGAAAGAAGAATAAAAATTAAAATGAAATAGAAATAATTAAAGTTGAAATCGAAAAAGGTCTCCATCATTTGTAAGAAAAGAATCAATAAATCGAATAGTAATCAGCAACTATTCAAGAATTAGAACAGAAAAATCATGCACTTAAAGAAGAACTAAAGTAGAAAGAAGAATAAAAATTAAAAGAAATAGAAATAATTAAAGTTGAAATCGAAAAAGGTCTTCATCATTTGTAAGAAAAGAATCAATAAATCGAATAGTAAACAGCAACTATTCAAGAATTAGAACAGAAAAATCATGCACTTTAAGAAGAACTGAAACAAAATGAATCATAAAAATTAAAAGAAATAGAAATAATTAAAGTTGAAATCGAAAAAGGTCTCCATCATTTGTAAGAAAAGAATCAATAAATCGAATAATAAACAGTAACTATTCAAGAATTAGAAACAGAAAAATCATGCACTTTAAGAAGAACTGAAACAAAATGAATCATAAAAATTAAAAGAAATAGAAATAATTAAAGTTGAAATAGGATAAGGTCTCCATCATTTGCAAGAAAAAAATCAATAAATCGAATAGTAATCAGCAACTATACAAGAATTAGAACAGAAAAATCATGCACTTTAAGAAGAACTAAAGTAGAAAGAAGAATAAAAATTAAAAGAAATAGAAATAAATAAAGTTGAAATCGAAAAAGGTCTCCATCATTTGTAAGAAAAGAATCAATAAATCGAATAGTAATCAGCAACTATTCAAGAATTAGAATAAAAAAAATCATGCACTTTAAGAAGAACTAAAGTAGAAAGAAGAATAAAAATTAAAAGAAATAGAAATTAATTAAAGTTGAAATCGAAAAAGGTCTTCATCATTTGCAAGAAAAGAATCAATAAATCGAATAGTAATCAGCAACTATTAAAGAATTAGAATAGAAAAATCATGCACTTTAAGAAGAACTAAAGTAGAAAGAAGAATAAAAATTAAAAGAAATAGAAATAATTAAAGTTGAAATAGGATAAGGTGTCCATCATTTGCAAGAAAAGAATCAATAAATCGAATAGTAATCAGCAACTATTCAAGAATTAGAATAAAAAAATCATGCACTACTTAAGAAGAACTGAAAGAAAATGAATCATAAAAATTAAAAGAAATAGAAATAATTAAAGTTGAAATCGAAAAAGGTCTCCATCATTTGTAAGAAAAGAATCAATAAATCGAATAATAAACAGCAACTATTCAAGAATTAGAATAAATAAATCATGCACTTAAAGAAGAACTGAAAGAAAATGAATCATAAAAATTAAAAGAAATAGAAATAATTAAAGTTGAAATAGGATAAGGTCTCCATCATTTGCAAGAAAAGAATCAATAAATCGAATAGTAATCAGCAACTATACAAGAATTAGAACAGAAAAATCATGCACTTAAAGAAGAACTAAAGTAGAAAGAAGAATAAAAATTAAAAGAAATAGAAATAATTAAAGTTGAAATCGAAAAAGGTCTCCATCATTTGCAAGAAAAAAATCAATAAATCGAATAATAAACAGTAACTATTCAAGAATTAGAACAGAAAAATCATGCACTTAAAGAAGAACTAAAGTAGAAAGAAGAATAAAAATTAAAAGAAATAGAAATAATTAAAGTTTAAATAGGATAAGGTCTCCATCATTTGCAAGAAAAGAATCAATAAATCGAATAGTAATCAGCAACTATTCAAGAATTAGAATAAAAAAATCATGCGCTTTAAGAAGAACTGAAAGAAAATGAATCATAAAAATTAAAAGAAATAGAAATAATTAAAGTTGAAATAGGATAAGGTGTCCATCATTTGCAAGAAAAGAATCAATAAATCGAATAGTAATCAGCAATTATTAAAGAATTAGAATAGAAAAATCATGCACTTTAAGAAGAACTAAAGTAGAAAGAAGAATAAAAATTAAAAGAAATAGAAATAATTAAAGTTGAAATCGAAAAAGGTCTCCATCATTTGTAAGAAAAGAATCAATAAATCGAATAATAATCAGTAACTATTCAAGAATTAGAACAGAAAAATCATGCACTTTAAGAAGAACTGAAACAAAATGAATCATAAAAATTAAAAGAAATAGAAATAATTAAAGTTGAAATCGAAAAAGGTCTCCATCATTTGTAAGAAAAGAATCAATAAATCGAATAATAAACAGTAACTATTCAAGAATTAGAACAGAAAAATCATGCACTTTAAGAAGAACTGAAACAAAATGAATCATAAAAATTAAAAGAAATAGAAATAATTAAAGTTGAAATAGGATAAGGTCTCCATCATTTGCAAGAAAAAAATCAATAAATCGAATAGTAATCAGCAACTATACAAGAATTAGAACAGAAAAATCATGCACTTTAAGAAGAACTAAAGTAGAAAGAAGAATAAAAATTAAAAGAAATAGAAATAAATAAAGTTGAAATCGAAAAAGGTCTCCATCATTTGTAAGAAAAGAATCAATAAATCGAATAGC